CTGGGTTGGGGCCCCGGGGATCTAAGTACTGCCTTGGGCAGACCAAGGGGATGGGGCCTGGCTGGTGGGCCTGAGGACATGCCAGGCATAGACCAGGCTCCCTAGGGTCTGAGGGCAGGGCAGAGCAGGGCTGCTTTGGCTGTGGGCTCTTGGCACTGAACCAACAAGGTAGGTGGGCCTAGCGTAGTCTCTGTCTCCAGCTGGGCATCAAAAAGGAGGGGCACCCACCCCTAGTGGGTAGACCTGACACCTCTCTGCTAGCCCTTCCCTATCCCCCTCCGAGAGAAGCCCTCACATAGCACCAACTAACCCCTGCCCACCCAGGTCTGAGCACAGCCCAGGCACACGTGTGTGCACAAACGCAACACATGCTCACAAGGCCACTGTCACAGCTATGGGGGACTTTCCAGCCCCTCCCTCCAGTGGGGCCTCCGGAAATCTAGGACAAAGCAGTAAGCAGCAGCCTAAAACGTCGATGCGGAAGGGGAGAGAGAGTAACTGAGAAAGGCCAGCACTGCAGACGCCAGAAGCCTGCAGGCTGGAGGGTGGTGGTCTGGGGGGATGGGGGTAGGGGTTGGGACCCTAACATCCTCCAGATCTGAGGTGCAAACCGGTCCAAGGCCATGCATGTCTGGCCACAAAAATGGTGCACTGAACCTGTAGCGTTACAACTTGGCCTAAAAAATTAACAGCCAGAGCCTAGCCAGAAGATGTTGAATGGCAAAGAACAATGAATGAACTATAGGCTGACCATCTCTTCTTGGAAACCCTTGGGACCAGAAGTAACCAAGATTTCAGACTCCTGGATTTTGGAATATTTTCAAATATACGCACAATGAGAGATCTTGCAGGAAAGATCTAAGTCTAAGCAGGAAATTCATGCACACTTCATAGACACCTCACATTCCCACCTCACATTCCCAGCCTTGGAACTGGTGTTAACTTTTATACACCACGTTTAGGGCACATGCACTTGAACTGGAACTTGCCATGTAAGATCAGGCGTGGGATTTGCCATTTGTGACATCAGGACAGCAGTTCCTCCCCCCCCCCCATTTTGTATTTTAGAGTATTTCAGATTGGGATTATTTATTTATTTATTTATTTATTTATTTATTAGAATTAGGGGTGCTCAAGCTATACAGTATATTCAACACCTTGGCTGAGTGCCCCAGGGAACGATGCTACATGATAAAAAAGCCAATCCTGCAATGGTCCCGTGTTATATACATCTATTGATAATGATGAAATGACTGAGATGCAGAATAGAGAGTGGCTCAGTTGCGGTCAGAGGCGACAGAGGGGCAATGCTGTAGGGCTTTATGAGGCATAGTGCAGGGCCTAGTGACACACGGATAGTCTTTAGCCTGACTGCACCTACGGCACCTGCTCTCTGTGGTTTCATAGGCATGATGCACTGGGGGATGTGGGTAAGAGCCTAGGAGAGCTCCCTGAGGAACTTCTTACAATTGTATAGGGCTTGGCAACGATCTCAGACAAGTTTAGTGTGAAAAAGAAACTTCTAGCATGCACAAATTCAGAGATACTCATGTCAGGGCCTTAAAGACAGAAGACGAGGCAACACATTTCCACATGGTGACAACCATCAGGTCCAGTCCCCCTGTCCCCACACTCCCACAGCTGATTCTGGTTCTCCTCCCAAAGTTTTTATCAATAGGTCTCAGTGTGAGACTGACAAAGGAACTCACTTCTAACCATTGGTCCAGTCCAACCTTCCCCCATACCCAGGGGAAGTCAAGACGCAGAGATGTCGCGTGAATGCTCAAAAGCCAGAGACAATGAGCAGCAGAGTTGCTGTCTGAAAGCCATGTGCTGCCTTCTTTCCTTGCCACACATCTGCCTCTCTGGGACTCAGGATGAAGGGCTGGACACAGCATGAGCCAAGGTCCTGGGGCAGAACCCATACAGCCCTGCTGACAGCAACAGAAAGTGACCATGGTCACCCCCACAGACGCCACCCAGGAGGACACAGGTGCAAAACTGGTTATGGCCAGCTTTATAAATCCTAAGTCCTAGCAAGATCCACCGCGCATCTGGGTGACAGTTTGCTGTCATGGCTCAGGCACAAGGTTGGGACAGTTCTGAGGAGCCAGTGAGTGTGCTGAGGTCACTGTGCCTTGCAAGTTCTCACGGCCAGGGAAAGGAGCAGGGAGCAGGGAAGATTCTGAAGAGGCCGACAGACAGAGAGAGAGGTAAAGGAGAGAAAGAGAGAAGCAAAGGGCACTTCCAGCCCACTGCAACCTCGGGGACGTCCTGACCTTGCCATTTGTGGCTTTCACATCTGCAAGGGTGCCACAATTCCAAGGTCTGAAAATACACAGAACCCAGGTGACTTATTTCCGCCTCTCGCCAATGATGCCTCCTTGGGCTGTGCCAGCACCAGGACAGGTGACCAAGTGAGCTTGGTCACTGGGGGCAGGCACACAGCTGATGGACGACGCAAGTGAGGGCAGGGGGCACTGGAGTGCCTGCTGAGGGCAGGCAGGGGCTACAGGCAGAGTCAGTGATCCCTGGCTCCTCTCAGAGGCAGGTCTGGAACTGGCTGGAGGAGGGGGCTTTGCATCATCACCAAGATGACTTGGGATCAGCTGGAGCCCCACTCGGCATGCAGGCAGATCTGTGCCCATCTTCACCACATCAGGGCTGCCCAGTGTCAAACCTGACCTGCCAGGGAAGCTGGTGTGACCTCTCTGAGGCTGGGAACTCAGACCTATTTGCATGCTGCTACTGCAAGGGAAACCAAAAGCCTCACCTACACCTGCTAGACAGCAGGTCAACTGCCTCGGGTGTGGGCAGGTTTTTCTTGGGAAGGCAGCCAAGAACATGGCTGATGTCTCATCTATAAAGACTGGGTTCCCACAGATGAGAAGCTGCCTGGAGCTGGCCAGCAGTGGGCACCAGGGGCTCAAAGGCAGCTTGGGGTGCTGCCAGACAGCAGGTTCGCCACCAGGAACCAGGACTTGAGAAGAGGGGAGAACTGAGAGGCACCCAGGGACTCGGGCAGTGGGGAGGGGTCTGCCCTGGAGGTCATTCATGCCCCTAACCTGGTACAGATCACCTGACTCTCCTCACACCACATCCCTGGTGCTACTAGAAGCAGCTCTGCAGAGATGCTTGCCAGGAGAAACTCAGCCTGTCTAAGGGGCTCTCAGCTGCCTCACTAATCTAGGCGGGAAAGAAGGAGGAGGTGGCCTCCCTGTACCAATTCTGGGATCAGCAAGGGCCTGTGACCGCAGCTTCCAATTGGCAGTGGAGGTCAATGGAAGTGCGGCCAGCCTGGCCCGAGTGTAGGGACAGCATGCTCCCTCGCTCTGCTCAGTGACCATGGGGGTGAGCCTGGGGTCCCAGCCACATCCATGGCCACAGCCAGTGCTTCCGGCTTGAACCACTAGCAGAATGGAATGGAATTACCCACCATGCATATTCACCCCACTGCATGGGATGCCATGGGGAGATAATCCTCCAGAGATGAGACCCAGGACCATAGACAGGAACAAGGGGCTTTCGCCAACCTGCTAGCCTGGAGCCCAAGATCCCTGGGGGAAGGTGGACGCCTGCCTGGCACTGAGGGAGGAAGCAGGATGAGTTTCCTCTAGGGCTTCCTTCCAGACCTCCTGCCTTGCACTGGGGCTGAGCTAGGGCCCCCAGCCCAGGAGGGACTGAGTGCTGGGACCAGTAGCAAAAGTCCTTAAGAGTTGCTTCTGAGAGAGGATTGCAGGGGCCACAATAAGGCCTGGTGCCCTCCCCCTGGGTGACTTCAAGTTGACAACCTCTGCCGCCATGGGTACCCTCCCTAGGGAAAAGACATAAGCTCCAGCAGGGTGGTAAGACCAAGCAGTTCTATGAGAAGAAGAGGGGGCCCCCTGCTGGCCTCGGATGGAAGGCATCAGCTGTTGGCGGCACAGCGGTGAGAAGCACACGAAGACAGGCATGGAGCACAGAGGGAGGGGCCGTGGAGAGGTCGGCCACACTCAGAACAGCACTGCTTTTGAGCTAAATCCAACATCACTCTGCTCCCTGCTTAGACGCAGCAGGCACTGAAGGGTTAAGGATGCTGCCAGGCCTGCAGAGGCCAAGCAGAGCTGGGAAGACCACACTGTAGGCTTGGCTGCCCAGCCAAAGAGTAGGAGGAGCAAGGACATAAGCTCAGAGATAAAATCCACACCAAGTCCAAGTGGGCCCCAGAGGGCTCGTCGCGTCCCTGCAGAACTGCAGCCATGGCATGCCCGGCAGCAAGTTGTAAACCTTGGCCGAGCATGGGCGCGCACCCCTGAGCCCCAGCCCCTCACAAAGCACAAGATCACCCCAGGCCGCTGCAGCAAATGCATTGCCACGCTTAAGCCCCATGCCTCGCCAGGAAAAGGCCTCCTGGGTTCCAGTGAGCTCCAGAATGTCATGTCCACCCCTCCCCTCCCAACCCCAGGCCCTGCACCAGTCCCTCCTCCAGCCAAGAGCCGGTCCTTCCCACAGCTGGGCTTTGAGCTGGGCCACACTGACAGTGCTGACAGGGGCGCCCAGGGCTCAGGGGTGTGTGCCCCACGTGGCCTTCCACATGCCTGCCTCCAGGTGCCCAGCCTTCACACTTGCAGGGGTATAGGCCCTGAATGGCAGGCAAGGCGCTGGCCCGCTGCCCGCACAGAGACAGGTGCCCTTGTTCTCTCAATAGCCCCTGGGAGGCCAAAGCAGCCCTGCCCTCCCTGGCCAGGATCAGGGCCATGGAAGCCTCACTTTTGCAGCCTGGGGCCTAGGGGGCGGGGACACACAGCTCCCAGCCTCCAGCACGCTGCCCAAGACGGCATCATCGGCATCCTCCTCCGCCAGCCAGCAGCTGCTGAGAAGGGGGCGGGGCTTTGCGGACTTGGTTTTCCAAGTACATGCACTTGAAAGGATCTTCTCCAAGAGCCGTGTGGCAGTGGGGCTGACCAGGGACAGATGGGGTCAGAGGGGCCATGCCATAGAGCCTGTGTCTGGACACTTACCTTGACCTTCGGAGGGCTTCCTCATCTGGATCTTGCACTGTGGGTAAAAGGGACCTGGTCAGAAGGACTCCCAAGGAGCATAGCAAAGAAAAGCTGCTGAGCTCTGCACGGGCTGAGTCCCCAGGATTTAGCCAGGGCCCTGGGTGGTTACAACACCTCCCCTCCGCATCCCCAATCTCGCAACTCTAAGAGGTTAAATCTGTGTGGTGGAAAGGATGATCCATCTTTCGACAAGATGGATGTGGTGCCAGCAACAGGGAGGGAGGTCAGAATTTATTGATCTTGTCCCAATCCCCTGGAGACGTCACACTGCTTAGGGGCTGCAAGGCTAGTGTGCTGTCCCCTGTTGGAGGTCTGGATTACTCCCGCGACCTCACTCAGGCCCTCACTTACTGAATTCGGTCCCTGTCATCTGGGCCAGGATACGGAAGGACCGTGACTGCAAATTGGAGGAGCGGCGAGCCCACTCGTCGGCCTCATCCTCTGGCTTGTTCTGGTTCTTGATCACAGCCTGGTACACAGGGGAGGCACTGTCCACTGCCAGATCTTTCACAGGAAGGCTCCTGCAATGTCGGGAGAGCTGTGGGTGGGGCGCTGAGCAGGAACCTGGCTCATGCCACCCTCGCCCACCCCACACCCTCCACCCCACCAGTCCCAGGCCCTCCCCTTCCCCGGTGTCCACCAGGTCTGCCCCCATGGCTAGCTGAGAAGCTGAGGCACGGGTGTGGCCTGGGCCATGGTACTCAGGGTGGTCACAGTGAGGCAGTGGATCCTGTCACTCAAACAAGGCCGAGAGCTTGGATCGCTCCTCCTCCACTGCCACCTGCAGGCTCAGGCTGGAAGAGCCCCCCTTGTCCAGCCTAGGGGCCGGACTGAGTTTACAGCTGGATGGGGAAGCAGGGTCCTGCTCAGAGCCTGTCCTCTGTCCTTGCTCTTTTGCTCTCAGCTGTGAAGCTGCCTGGGAGGGAACCTGGGGCTCCAGGCTTTGTCACAGATGTGGGCCTGCCATGAAGTGGAGATGAGAAGCAAGACAGTGAGGCTGCATGGTCATAACCACTTGGCCCTGGGAGAGCTGGAAATAGGACTGTAGGGTAGGGACTGCCCTTGGTTCTCGGTCCTAGCCTTTGGTGGTGATGATGGAGTGACTTCCCCCTAAACTCCTAGGTCACTTCCCCCTAAACTCCTAGGTCTTAGCATAAGGCAGGTACTCAAAGTATCTTGAATGAATGAATGAAAGCCAGAAAGGACCCTTGGAGTCAATGTGGGGAGGCTCCAGAATGTCCAGCCCACCCTCCCAAAGACCAGGCAACTCATTCCAGCTGACTCCAGCTCGGGGTCCCCTGGAACCAGAGCTTGGGCATTTCTAAGCTGCCAGCCCAGCATCCTTGTCATCAGGCCCTCCCCAGAGTCACAAACACTCAGGAAGGCTACTTCTGCCCCCTGCCCCATGTAGGCTGCCTCGCCTTCCCTTCCAGGGCTCTGGCCCAACTGGAAGAGCTACGGGGGCTGGATGCAGATACCACGAGGATGGCAGCAGGTTACTCTAAGGTTCTAGCTGGGAACCAGAAGAGAAGGTAGGACCTCACTCAAACTGGAGGAAGGACGGTCAAGGTGCTTGGGTGAGATGTGTGATTGCATCTCCTGGTTTTGACTCCCTACCTGGGAGAGGAAGTAGAAAGTGCCACGGGTGTGGGGTAGTGTAGACATGAGCCCAGGCTCTGGGGCAGATGGAAGGCCACCTGCCATCATTTCCCTGTAAGGATTCCCACCAGGGAATTCCCACCAGGATATTCTGTTCCCTTCCTGGCTCTAGGGATTCAAGAAAACCCCACGGCGGGGGTTGGGCAGAGTCTATCCACTGGGATTCAACCTCACTGGTTTGGCCTCCAGTACCATCTTGGCAGACAGTGCCAAGATGGTGGACTTGTGCTGCTGTGGGAGGGAGGAGAGAGAACTCTCTGAGGAGGCTGAGGGAGGAGAGGCAGAGAAGCTGCAATGCTGGGACTCCAGGCCAATGCTACCCTCTGTAGCCACCACACCCTGAGTCTGTGCTTCTTGCTACTCATGGTCCCCTACACACAACCAAGGTTGCCATTCACTTCACTCATCAGGCTCATTTTTTTAGCCTGTCATGAGTGGGCTGGCAGGTACTGGTTCCCACAGACCCATCTCCCAGGAGGTTACCACCCTGGAGCTCTACATGCTGTCGTCTTGTTATCACTCTGATATCTGCACCTATCATGACATGATCTGAGGGAACAGCTTCTTGCCCACACAGGCCACAAGGGTGTGGTGTAGGCCTGAGAAAGTATGTGGAGAGAGCATGCTGGGCACATACCCTGGCAACCTCGCACACCAGCCCACGCACGACCCCACAGACGCCGATGCTGAGGACGATGGGACAGACACTTAGGTGGGGTGAGAGGGAGCTACTTACGCCAGTGGCGACGCCCTGCCAAGCAGAGGGACAGCCAGCCGTGAGGGCGCGTCCATCATGGGATGGCAGAGGCGGCGCACACAGAGAGCGGGGTTAGGGTCAGATATGAGTTATGGGGAGTGGGGCAGACGCAGGAAGGGGAGAGAGAGAAAAAGAAAATCATCAGTGAGGAAGGAACCACAGCAGCCAACAGCAGCCCCGGGGACACAGTTATGATGGCCTGGCCAAGACAAGGAAGATGACTTTTCCCCCCCAACTCTGAGGCAGCTCAGCAGCCAGAAGGGAAGGGAGTAGGCAGGAGGGAGACTGGGAAGGTCCTTGGATGAGTTGATTGATTAGAGAGGAGCATGTCAGTAAGACCATGGCTGCCCCTCGTGCTACCATCAAATGCCAGCGAGTTAGTGAGGAGCGGTTCTCGGGTGACCGCTACGTGTTTAGGAACATGTAGGTGACTGCTACATGCTCAGGGGGCCAACAAATGTCAGCAGGAAATGCCTGTGCACTCCTGGGCTTAGGCGGGGTCCTCGGGAGCTGACTGCTGGCCAATGTACAGAGCCATATTTTCTACTTCCAAGGATGGGATTCTTCTGTTCACTACATGGCCTGGAACTCTGTCCGCCAAGAGCCACAGCAGCTCTGAGTCTGGCTGGGTTGAGATTTGCCAGCTCCAAGGCAGCAGGTGGCTCCCATCTCCTGGTGGCCCAGAAGATGTACTGCATGCCCAGCAGAGTGGAGCTTGCCCCTTGCAGCCTGTGGTGTGCAAACACCAGACACAGTAACAGGATTCTTTGTACCCATTACTACGTCTCTATCTATAGCTTTGGGGCGGGGGAAGGGTGAGTGTGTCGTTTTAATATGTTTTTCCTTGAGTTGCTGGCTATTCTGATGCAGGAATAAGTTGTTGTCCAAGCCATGTCAGCCAATGGACCTTGGAAGGATTTCCTCATCCTTGGATCTGCAATTGAAGCATGTCAGAACTATTGAAACCATTTGAACAGAACCCTCAAAACATACTCTACATTGGGGACCTTGGGAAGACAGGGTGGCTGTCCCCATCCCTAGGTACTGATGTAGTTGGGAGACTGAGTATGGCTTCTCTAGTTTCCCCCCTTCTCCCAGATACAGGAAGAAGAAAAATTGGGAAAAAAAATGGGCTACCAATTTTCCCCTAACCCTCAATCCTTCCCACCTTAATCACCTATGTAAACATCATCAAAAATAAAATTTAAAAATGTTCTAAAAACTGAAAATCAGTAAGCTGCTGTTAAAAAAAAAAAAAAAAAGGTTGCCCAAGGAGCTAATTGTATATGAGAACATGATGGTATTCCCAAGTGGAAAACCAACAGACGGTGTGTCTGTGTGCGTGTGCAAGAGACATGACAGAGTGGCAGGCAGGAAGTCAGACAGAGTGCAATGAGCACCCTGAGTAGCTCTGACTACCTGTGCTTTTCAGCCAGCTTTCCCTTGTTCCATGCCTATAACCCAATCACCGCCCACAGGCCAAGTCGGGAAGCAATGCCGGAGTTGAGGCCTTGTCCCAAGTAAGAAACCCATCGCGTCTTCCACTCCCGCAGGTGAAAGAGTATGACACCTGCCCTTCCGCAGCCAGGAACAGATGGATGGCCTGGTCGTGAGAGGCCTGACCAAGGGATGGGGGGGAGCTCTGCAATGTTCTGTCCTTAAGAGGATTACACGCCATCTGCTTCTCAAGTAGCCCCATGTGAGTCTGGGAAGTTCAGAGGCCATGGAAAGTACTTGCAGGAACTGCCGCATTCTCCACCTTCTGTCCTGTGGCAGACCAGGAGCTGAGTTCTGAAGAGCGGACCCCAGGCTTTGCAAGGCCCTGGTGTAGGCCTGCAGGCTCCTGGGATACCAGAGGCGAGGGAAGCACACCGGGTCAGTTGGCTGCAGCAGGTGTGTGAAGAAGGGGAAGGGCTTACCCGCTGAAGTCACTGCCCTGGGCCTGGGCCTGGCCAGCGATGGCATCCATGATGGCATCCTGGGAGTACATGCTGATAGGGGTGTTGTACTGGGCATGGATGATGGTGGCCTTGCCGCCCAGCCCCTTCACCTCGATGGGTTTGTGAGTGGACAGGGCCGAGTCCTTCAGAGCATTGGGGTTGAAGCGTTCCTGGTAGTCGGCGCTGGGGGAGGTATGCATAAGGAGCCAACCAAGGGAAAGGGAAAAGGGGAGGAGAAAAGGGAACAGGTGGTGGTTACACCAGAGGTCAAGGCCACGGCAGACAGTGGGGGTGTGTGGAGAGAGATCTCCCAATGCCAAGGTCCTGACTGCAAGTAGGATATCCTTGTGACCACAGTGGGCTGGCCAGGTCTAATCGAGTCAGTGTTTGTATGGGGGTTTTTCTGGCCCAGCTCTGCTTTCCCAGTGCATGCATACCTGGCTCGGCTCCAGCCACCTCCAGGGTTAGCAGGTGCTCTGGGCATGGCAAGATCTCCCACCATACACGACCCCAACAACAGAGGCAAACATGGCCAGAGGAACCAGGCGGAGGGCGGAAAGGGGGCTTAGGGACAGGGGTAGGAGCTGGACTATGTGAGAGGCAGCGGCAGCTCAAGCTGAGTCCAGAGCATCCCAAATGCGAGAAGCAGCAGCCCCCGGACCTGCACCCTGCAGAGCTGAGCAAGGTCCCTCCATGAGGGGTGCCGCATCCTGCTGCCCACCACGTCAGGGCTTCACTGCATGCACTTCTTCCTTGGAGTGGAGTTCAGGCCTCCTGGGCCCCTGGAAGTCCACCTGGCTGTGTGGCCCACTAGCCAGTAGTTCCCATCGTTGGTAGGTTGGGGAATATCTTCTCTCCAGCATGCAGACAAGGTCAGGTGCAACCTCTGGAGGAGGTTCCGGCAGGACAGAGAATCTTCAGGCACATGAGGTCCCCCAGAGCAGTGCAGCATTCCTCGTCTCACCCCCTTTCCTCTGCACCACCCCAGCAAGCCTACAGAGGCTTAAGCAGCTGCAGCACAAATGGGGCACAAGTCGGAACCACCAGACAAGAACCTCCCACTTCACCCCCAAAGGCCCCTCTTCATACTTGAGCTTCACACACATGCAGGCTCATCCAGGGACACACATAGGCATCTGCACTCACCCATGCACACGCTGTCCACACTACACAGACACACAGGTGCATGCCAGGCAAGCACACAGCGCACACACATGCTGTCCTTGATACTAACTTGGCCGGTGAGTTGGCTACCACCTGGGGCAGAGAGAAAAGGCAAAGACAGGGCTGTGAGAGGCGGCTTCCTTGGAGGGGAGGGGTTTGAGTGCCAGGACCCTCCTTGGGCTGGCTCACACAGAGGCAAAACCGCTCAAAGCTTTACTGTGCAAGGAGAGGAAGGAAACAGCAGGGCAGGGCTTGGAGTCAGCAATCAAGGGCCCCCAGGGCTTGGGTCAGACATAGCAGGGACCCCCACTCTGTGAGCTTCTCATGTCCACCATGTCCTATCTCACCCCCTCACCAAGACGACCTGATTACGCAGCCCCAGAAAACAGCTGGGAATTGAGACCGGGTACGCTGCACTTGCCGGCTTGAGTGCCAGGTCCTTGCTGCCTCCTGGCCTGGCTGCTGCTCTGGGCTCAGCCCTGCCTCATGGAGCCAGCCCTGGGGATCTGCTTCCCCAGCAGGTGGCATAGCAGCACTAGGAGGCTGTGTATTAGAGGTCAGGAGTTGGTACACCGTGAGTTATTTGTGGCTCCAGGATCTGCTCTTTCTCCTGGGCCCAGGATAGGGGGTGAAGGCACACCCCCCACTTCTGACAACACTGTGCTCTCCCCCCAGCTCCAAGAAAGTGTGAGGTGTTTTGGGAGAAGTGTGGGTACTAGACAAGCCAAGGCAATTCAGCTTGGACCCTACAGCGGGAACCCTGCCCCTTTCCTGCAGCCCTCCCTGCCCCCCCGGCAAGCTCTCCTTGGAGAGGGTACACAGTTGACATTCGATCTCTTTAAATGCAAGTTGTCCAGAACTGAGAGGGAGAGTTTTCTGTCTCTAGAATCTGTTGCTTTTCTGTATTTGTCCCCCTAGAAGCTGTGGTTGGGGGATCCTGGCACCTAGCCAGTCCCCAGGGGAGTCAGGCCAAAGCCAGGGCTCCATCCTTTCCTTTCCCTAGGGAGCTCTCCCATTGCCTTGCCTAGCTCTACCCAGCACTGTCTCCCAGTTGATAAAACTCCCCGTGTCTTCCCAAGCTCAAAATAGCTCTTGCGTGGGCTATATTAGGAAAGGGCCAATATGGAGCTTTCATTTTGTCTCCATTTTTGGCCAGTGCCTACAGCTGCCTTGTACTTCACTCCCTTCCCCCACTGCCTTGGCAGTCCAGTGCCCCCCGCCCGCTACAGAGAGCAGTGTTGGCCTGGTGGGAAGGGGGATGCCCCCATCCTGCCATAGGCTCCTTCTGTGGTATTGGCTCCCGTGCCCTGCTCAGCTTCTGCCAGAGAACCCAAGGCTGAGATGTCCATGGCAGACACAACTCAACAGCCACCAGTACCAGCTCTTGGAGAGGATAACCCAGAGGCAAGACCCGCCCAGGTGGCCTGTGGGATGTTGCCTTTGTGGCCAGCCCCAGAAAGGGTGAGGAGAAGGGGTCAGTGGGAATACCTAGGTCACCGCATTTGCTCCTCTGCCTGCCTCCCAGAGGCTTTGAGCTGCCCGGGGAGTCAGGCAAGAAGCTTTCCCCAGGAATTGGACAAAAATCAGCTCTGATCCTGCGCTCTTCCTGCTGCCCATCTCAACTTTATAAAATCGATGATACCTACTGCCCAAATGAGTTGTATAGACTAAACAGGACTCTTGAGTCTGAGCCTGCCTCAATAGGGGATACAGGTACAATGGATGCACACGCAACTTAGCTGTGGCCAAATCTGCTGCCTGCAAGAGGTTAGACATGTGGCCCCGGGTGGTGGCCTAGGCCAGGCCGAGGCTGTCCTGGACTAGCTCGGAGACCCTGGCCCTTCCCTACCTGCCTTGCCTGGGACAGGAGCACCAGCTTTGGCTTGGGCTGGGCCACACTAGCCTGTCTTTCCTGGGCCTGCTGCTCAGCCTATCAAGTGATTATTTAAACAGAGAAGTGGGTACCCTGAGAGACTCTTCTAGGTAGCCTTCCTGGACAGCTCCCAGCCGTAGAGAACACACTTTTCCACCTTGCTTCTGCCTCATGGTTCCTAGAGGAGTGTGGACCAAAGCATCTGCTTGCCCTGGAGCTCCTGAAGGAAGCAGAGGGTGGGGCTGACTCCTCTCCCAGCAGGTTGACAGGTCCTGGTCTCCCTGCCACGTGGAGTCAGTTAGACCCAGGTGCCAGTCTTAGCTGCTACTTTCAAGCTGTGTGATATTGAATATATTATTTTCCCTATTTAAACTTCCATTTTCCCTCTGTAGAAGGGCAATCATGTGCCCCCCCCCCCCGTGTTCACTGCGAGGCAAAGACAAGTGATTGTTGGCTGTTTCCAGGCTGGAAAGAGGATTCCACAAGAGGAGATGCTCTCATCACTGCAGCTGGCCTCCAGGGTGGAGGCAAGGGTCCCAGCCACTGGAGCCCATCTTCCCAAACTGGCTGACCTACCAGCTCATCAAGGGCAGGCTAAGGAGACTGGCTCTATTCCACTAGTCCACCCCTGAGTTCTCTGGCCGGAAGCCCCTGAGGAAAAACGTCAGCAGAGTGGACGCATAGCTCAGCTGCTCTTGGCCAGCAGTGCTACCCACTGCCAGAGGCCAGCTTCACGCAGGAGCTCAGAGAGCATAGGTGAGAGGGACAAGCAGCAAGGCACTCAGCCAGCAGCAAGCTGGTGGGGCCCAGCATGCCTTGTGCAGGGTGCCAGGCTCCTGGTTGGACTCCCACATGCACCAGCTGGATGAATCGGGGCAGTGACCACATGGGGTTCCCCATCTTGCGGAAGGTGTGCCAACACACTGTGTCTCTTTTATCCTCCTCCAACCCCAGGGCACTGTGCCAGGCCTCCCACTGCATGCTGGGCAGGCAGAGCATCAGGCTGTGCTGCCCTAACTTGGCTTGTTCTGCATCCAGCACCCACCCCCCCCCCCCAGGCACAGATAATGGTGCAGTTGTGGACTCAGGAGGAGCAGTTGAGTGTGAAGGGTTCCTCACCCTCCATCACCTACCCCAAGGCCCACCTACATGATCTGAACCCATGGCCCATTGAGTCCCAGCCATTAGACTATGGTGGGGTTGCTACTTCCCAACCTTTATCCTGCAATCCCTTTCTCCTCTGGCTACTGTTTCCTTGCTGCTCTGCCTTGGCCAGGGTCACTCCCACCCAGCTCAGGCACTATCTCCTCTAGCCAGCCTTCCTGGACTACTCCCAGCTCTACAGAACTCATTTTTCCATCTTGTTTCTGCCTCAGGGCTCCAAGAGGAGTGTGGACCAAAGTGCCTACTTGCCCTGGAGCTCCTGAGGCAACAGGCAAGCAGGCACTGGCCCGTTTTTGGAGGGTGTGACCTGGTATGAAAGTTTGGGAGGCCACACATGGTGCCTGGAGACCACTTAACGGCCAAACCACTAGACTGGGACTTCAGCTTCTCAAGGCCTTGGTTCCCCCTGGGCCAAGTCTGACCCGGCGTCTGGGTAGCTGTTTGAAGCTGCGACGTGGCTGGCTCCTGGCAGAGGGCAATGGGATTGTGCTGTGGTCAGCTATGGTGGCTCATGTGTTTGTGGCTGGTGGGATGGAGTCCAGTGCCTCTCTTTGACCACCTGACCAGGCGTCCACCGAGCACCCTGGCCTCGGGAGGGCCCCAGACCACACGTGCAGAGTTGTGTGCCCACTACCTACCCTCCAAGGAGTCCGGCACCTGAGGCCTTCCCTCGGAGGCTCATGTGATACAGCTGAGCCATCTCCCTCAGGGTCTCTGCCGAGTACAGGCCAATGGGGTTGTTATACTGCCTCAGCTGGCGTGAGCCCTGGGCCCCCTGGGCCCCCTCTGAGCTGGTCTTGGTGCCCGGGCTGCCCTGTGAAGGAATGGGGTCCAAGACCTCCACAGATGGCGAGCAGATAGAGGCCTGAGAGAAGGCAGGACTGAAGGCGCACCCCAGCTCCGGCGTGCCCGGGGTGCCCAGGCCGGCCCTGGCCTCGGGGCTGCCGTTCGTGTCCAGAGCAGGGTCCTGGCCCAAGGGGCAGCGCCATGCAGGGGAGAGAGAAGAGAGCAGTTAGAAGCCACACACACTCAAGAGCTTCTGTGTGGACCTAGAACCAAAGTGTTAGTGTAAGTGCCCCCGCAGCCTGCCACCCACCCCCGCAGCTCGCTGCCCTGAGCACCTGCAGCTCACTGCCCCAAGCATCTGCAGCTAGCTGTCTTGAGCACCTGCAGGGGCACAGGAGAGGTTTATCCACAGGAAAAGACCTATGGCATGCAGGCTGGCATCCAGCTGGACAGAATACAAAACCTGGACAGAAAACCAAGCCAAGACTGCCACCCCTAGGACAGCCCAGGGAAGAGATGTGGTGCCAGGGTGCCATGGGAACACCCCCGTGCTGTGTCTGCCCCTGCCTTGCCTCTACCTACTTGGTCCCTAGGTTACTGCAAAGCAGGCAGGCAGAGCATAGGGGCAGAAAGGATGGCTGAGGAAGTAGGTGGGCTGGCACTCAGTCCCACCTGGTTCTTCTCCCATCCTGTGCCCATCCCAACCCCCTGGCAGCTTTCTCTACCCTTCCCCACCCCAAATCTGTCTGCAATGACACCAAAGGGCAAGGCCTACAGGAGAGAAGCTGAACCCTCGGTGGTTGCAGCTGCTTAGTAGTGGTTCAAATAGAGCCTGGGACTCAATTATAAGTCTAGGGCCATGACTGTGCTATGCTGTACCCCATGCTTGCCTCTAAGGCTGCAGGGGTGCAGAGCGGGGGCATCAGGTGGTACAGGTGGCTGAACAGAAGTGGGAGCAAGATGTACAATGTAGGAGATACTCTGAGGCCAGCAGCCCCTCCACACCTGGGAGCTCCTCCTGGTGGCTGACTCAAGTAGGAGGGCCTTTGCCATGATCACCCCAGTCCCTATTCTCTCAAACAGATAAGGATCAGAGGTTTCTAGATCCATTTTTGCTGTCTGGGTGGGAGGCTGTGCTGTGACCCAAGACTGGTGTTCAGTCACAAGCCCTGGGGTGGTGGCTAGCTTCCACCAGGCAGGCACCCTAGACTCAGTGCTTCCTGGGGAGCTTGCACAGCTTCCCCTGTGTTTTCTGACCCCTTCAGCAGGCTTAGTTGCAGCAGGCACAGGCCAGGGCTATGCTTCAGGAACCCCAGGCACCAACAGTCAGCACTTACCTTCTGATGGGGGATTACCGGCAGTGGTGACTGAACTGGAGGTGCGGTCGTAGAGATGGGAATGGGACGCTTTGACCTAGAGAAGCCAGAAGGCGACAGGTGAGGACAGTGGGCCTTGGAAGAGGGGAGCTCCTCTCTGGGCTGAGAGGGGAAAGCAACAGAATGCGGGGCAGCTAGGTCAGAGGGCTGTGACCCACTGCCCATTCCTTAGCCCAGGTTGTCCTGGGGAAGGCATTCGGTCTGAGCGAGCTGGAGAAGTCATGGCTCTTGGGCATGCTGGCCAGCACCACACAGCCTTTGCTGTGTCCTTGGGAGGCTGCCTGGGCAAAGAACTGGGCTTCCAGGCCCAGCTGCCCACGTGCTGGCATGTGCAGAGGCGGCAATGTTGTCAGTCTCTAGCACTTGGGACTTCCCTCCCTGCAAGTTTCAAGGCCCAAGGCTGAGTGTGTGTAATGGCTACACCGCAGCCTCTTGTTTGGTGTTCCCCGCCTTCCCCTCCAGCAACCCAGCTTCTGCTCCCTACCCCTACCCCTGCCTGGAGGGCAGCCACCTACTTCTGCAGGGTGAGACTCAGGTTGTAGCTGGCAGACTTGATCTTGTTTTGGGCCTCCAGATGGGTCATGGTATCTGTGTTGACGCCGTCGATGGCCACCACGAGGTCACCCTGGCTGAGCTGGGACTGGGCTGCCTTGCTTCCTGGAGTGATCTGGTTGGATGGCAGAAGTGGAGGGGGAAAGTGAGCGTAAATGGGGTGGTCTCGGGGAAGTCGTCAGGCTGTATTAAGTCATCAGGTGTTCTGGTCACTCTGGACAGTTAGTCTGCTGCCCTACGGCCACCCTGTTTGCTAGCCCTCTGTGTCTGGCTGTGGTCATGGGACCACTAGCTCTGGCATGTAGCATGAGGGTGGAAGCAGGGCATGCCCACCCAGTCGGCTTGCTGGCTTTCTGGTCACAGAGGATGAAGGAGGACAGCCAGGACACTAACTGAAAGGCACCTAGATTCTGCAGTCACTGCCTGGACGACAGCCAGTTAAGGAGCATCCCGTGAGATAGTGCATGAGTGAGAAATCAGCTTTCATGTGTGCTAGGTGACGGTGATGCGGCAACTGTTTGTTTCTTAAAAGATTTATTTGTTTCTATTGGAAAGGCAGATTTACAGAGAGAGAAACCAAGAAAGACCTCCCACCCTTGGATTCACTTCCCAGATGGCTGTAACAGCTGGAGCCGAGTTGAACTGATCCAAAGCCAGGAGCCAGGAGCCCCTTCCAGGTCTCCCACACAAGTGCAGGGTCCCAAGGCTTTGGGTCATCCTCTACTGCTTTCCCAGGCCACAGGCAGGAAACTGGATGGGAAATGGAGCAGTCAGGACATGAACCAGTGCCCCTATGGGATGTCTACAGGCAGAGGATTAGCCAATTGAGCCGTTGAGCTTAGCCAGCTGTTTGTTGTATGGGTTAGCATACTATCACCCTGTACTCTGCAAGTCCATGGGATACTGTCCAGGCTCCCAGAGGGAAGAGAGTTGCAGGAGCTAAGACTCAGCAGCACTGTGAGACACCAAGAGGCAAGCGGGTAGGACAAATGCCACCCCCCCACCACCAAAAGCACCCTAATGCAGGTGCTACCATGGCTGTGAGTGAGAGTCAGGTCAGCTGGAAGACAGGGTATGGATTAGGGCTCACAGACCCACTACAGTCTTCCAGAAAGGCAGGTACAGGTGTGTGGGTCAGTTTCCATTGACATCACAGAATCTTGGAGTCGGAAAGTCCTATCTCCAGTGTCACTACACTACACCTAGGAAAACACGCCGCGCACAGGACACACAAAATTCCAGAGAACGTAACTCCCCTGGCCCTCCCCTGGTGATATCAGCACCCCCCATCCATGACATCACATGGCATTCTTTTCTGGCTCCTCCCCCAGTGACATCACAGGAAGGAGGAGCCTCTGAAACAGTGTACAAAGTGTGGCTAGAGAGTGTCCCTTGGCCCTGCCTATACAGCACATCCCCCCTAGCCAGTTTTCCTAGCTTCTCCCAGCATAGCCCAGTCACCTTCCTGGCTATAATCCAGGGACAAGGCCAGCTCCTAACATTCGCAAAGCCAGAATCAGGGCAAGTCCTGGAAGGAACCCAGAGAGGATTTGGGGAGAGCCCCTGGCCTTGAGTGTCAAGTCTGAATGGGCCTCTGGCTAGGCCCTAGCTTTGCAGACAGGTGTGGAAGTCTCCTGCTGACTCCCTTTGGGGAAATCCCAGCACAACCAGGGCACCCTGTCTTCCCACATGGACCCTGCAATGGTATCTGTGCCAGCACATCCAGTGGCCCAAATCCCCATCCTATACCATGTAAAGCAAGCAGGACCAGGGGAGCTCTTGCCAGTTGCTATCAAATATTTTAGGCCCCAGGGATTTCTGAACATAGGAATACTCTTCAACAGGTGCATGGAAAATGTATATTATGAGAAAAAGTCCAATCCATAGGTTTCAAAAGTATTGGCAACGAGATGAACAGCTTTTAATTCTGCTTGAGGTACATATCCCCAGATACACTGCCATAGGGTTTCTGTGCTCAAAGCAGGAGTGGGTCACTGCCTTCAACAGTAGGAGATGAAAACAAACAAAAAAAGTCAACACAAGCAATGTGGTGTTCTAGACCAAGAAGAGACTCGAGACTAAGCAGTCCAGCTGGGTACCCTGAAGAAAGTGTGATTTCCAGATGCCACTGGCTCCCCCGGTAGGGTTATGTAATGACTCCCAGCACGTTACCCCAGACATGTTCAAGCAGAGAAAACTGGACGTGAACACCTACACGTTCCTCCCCACTCCCCCCACCACACTCTCACCTTAACATTCCTCTTAACTTTCATCACATACTCAGGCATTGGCCCAGTTTGCTGCACCAGCATTTCAAAGCCAAATGGCTACACCCCCAGACTGCTCCCCTTCAGGTGGGTTCTGCAGCACTTGCACTAGCCTGCAGGGGTAGCTAACTGCAGATCACTCCCTGGAAAAGTTTCCACACAGCCAGGACACCCCCACACGTCGTTTCTAAAAACTTACAGGGATGGGGAAACATCATTCTGAAGCTAATGAAGAGGAGCAGTTGCAGACCCACCTAGAAGGAAAGGAGATTCTGCCAGGCAGGATGGGTGTGTCCAGAAGATTCTGACAGTATGGGCAAGGCCACCAGAATGATATCCCCATCAGCTGGGGCCAGTCCAGCTGGGACTGACCGTCTTCCTCTGGTAGTACAGCCTTCTCTGGGCCTTCTTGCCCCTTCCCAATCTTCAGAAGTGGGCTGGGTGATCCTTGGTCCTGGGAGGGAAGCTCTCAGGCCCTGTAGGCCCTGTTCGGTTGCCAAGCAACCCACAGGAGAATTTCTGAGCTGGCTCCAGCCTGCCCCTGATGCCTTTTTCCCTTGCACCTGCGTGTGCTGTCAGGGCTCAGCTGGCCTGGCCCTTGGCTGCCCTGAGCACGGCCCAGTAGCCCTCAGGGTGGAGGTGGGACTCTTGATCTCCCCTTCTAGGGGACACTGCTCTATTGTATCCCCAGGGTGTCCTTAGAAAAGGAAGCAGGGATCTTTAGGATGCCTTAAGGATGCCATTAGATGCCTTCCTTCCACTTGCAGGAGCAGCCTGCTCAGGTGGGGGTGGGACAGGGTCATGCTTGGACCTTGCCCTGAGCTTGGGACTCTTGTCTAATCCTCTGTATTCTTCCTGCTCCTATTGTCCCAGGAAGGGGCCTGAGCATCTGAATCCTTAAAAGGTTCTTGCTCATGTGTGTGTGTGTGTAAATCTTTGGAAGGAGTCTTTCATTCTCACTCTACTTCCCAATCCGCTCCACCATCAGCACCTCTCACCCTCAAGTAGAACCTAGAAAGCCCTAAGTGTGGGGGACCCGAATCCAATCTCCAAAGCTCCCCAGCCCAGGTGCTCTTCAGGGTGGCTGGGCCAAGCTCTAGGGCAGCCCACAGGACCACACTGGAAAGGCTGAAGCAGCCAAGGGAGGAGTCAGGTCTCAGACTTGGAGCTTTCATGTCCCAGGCCAGCAACTCCCACTTTCTCTTGGGATTCTTGTGAGGGTTACATGGTTGAATAGAAAGTGCAAGGCTGAGAAAGTAACTACAAAGCACAGCTTCTGACCCAGGCTGCCTCCCACAGGAACTGCCAGAGGCCTAAGGCTGATGGCCACATCCCTAAGCTTCCTGGGAACTAAGAATCAGAGTGGGCAGAGAGGGAGATCGGCCCCGATGATAACCAGTCCTGAGCAAGCCTGTTATCCCAGGAAGGGCCTGGGTGTCAGGGCAAATGGGAGCAAAGTTGTGTCCAGGGTCCTGGGGTGGTCCAGGACTGGGTGGCCCCAGGCTGGGATGGGCTGCAACCCCAGCCAGGCCAGCTCTTCCCTTGCTTCTGTTCCGTGAAGGGTACAGCTCCCAACAGCCCCTTTCTGCCAGCCCAACTCAGCCTGTCCTCCCCACACAGTACATATGACTTATACAACTGAATCACCATCATGCTTGTTGCCTTCCCATCTGACCTCCCACTGACTCCAGCCTTCACCTTCTCCCTGGATCTACTACTGCATCTCCACAGCCCCAGCCCCACCAGTCTCTTCTGTGCTCCAAAGGCTTCTCAGCCTTGCTTGCTCCTGCAGGCTTCTGCTGTGACCTCTCCACCTCCATCTCCAGGTGGCCAGAAAAGTGACCTGCAGGAGCTGTCTGGGCTGGAAACTTCCCTCTCACACCCAGCTCTCTGGGCCTAGGTCAAGGGAGGGGTTCCTGCTCCCTTTGCTAGCTGGATCCACACCCTATTCTGACCCTGCTCCTTCTATTGTTCCTGCAGTTTCGCCTGGGTCCTAGCAATGATCACACAGCCCTGTGGGCAGAGTCTCCTGAAGCCTTCCAGGATGGGGACAGTCCCTGAATGAGACTTAGGGAGCTGTGGAGGGGAACCCCACAAGCCTGGTTGGAAGGAGGGTCTAGGGTCAGCTTCCCAGGGCTGTGGCCTTCAGACTCTGAAGTGGGCTTGGAGATGGTTCTGAGCTGGGGGCAGGGCTGGCTTCTCCCCCTGGCTGCTGCTGCTGAAGTCTCTGTCCTTATCTCTCACTGTGCTGGATGGAGAGAGCTGGCTGGGAGGGGCCCTGAGGAGGCGCCCCTGACCTTCAGGGGGCTGCTATAAACAGCACAGCCTGTCAGCACTACTAGGCGCTGCCCAAGAAACAGCACGAGGCCTCCAGTGGCCTCGGGATTCCAGGAATTGTCGGCACAGCCACCCCCAGAATAGGCTAGGCCTGGCCCCTTCCCCCTTGCTCCTCCCCAGGGACCCCCAGCCCGCAGACTCTGCATGCATAGTCACTGGAAGAAGACTGATAAAGACAGAAACCTAAACCAGCAAAGTGGTGGAGGCGCCAGGTCTCCCATCAGCCACAGAAAAAAAGTCCTTCCGCAGGTAGCTGGTAGAACAGCTGGCAGGTTAGACAGGTTAGAGAACTGGAGGCTACCCAGGTGAGACGACTGTGCTAACATGACACAGCCAGAGGGGGCAGAGCTGAGCCATCCCTCAGGCGCTTGGAGCTGCTCCCTGTCTCCCAGTGGCTCCCACCCCTCCCCCACTTCCTGAGGGATTGGCTGGGGTGAGAGGTCAGGTTGCAAGCCAAAGCACCTGCCCAGGATAAAGGCATTTCTCTTCAGCCGCCCGTTCCCAGTCCTAGGGGTGGGGTTTCCCAGCCTGGGACCCCCTGGAGGGAGACCCTGTGAGGCCACCTCTCGGCCCACATTGACGCTGTGTTAGTGGGAGTGCAGGTGTTCCTGTGATTCCCCCGCCCCAACTTCTCATCCCAGGTAACAGGAGTCTGAGTTGAGGAGTAGCAGGTGTACCTATAGCTGAATGGGGTCAGGCTTCTCCCAGTTGGGTTAGAGGAGCCAGGGCAGGCACTGGAGCCAGGGGTCAAACTGGATTCCAGCCAAAGCCATCTCCGTCCCTTGAGGGAGAGCGAGCATGGGCACTTGAGTGGCACAAGAATCCTGGCCCTGGGGGTGCTGACTCTCTCTGGGGAGAAGCAGGGTCTGCCTTTGCTAGCCCTCCCACCTCCCCAGCAAAGCCCCACAGCAAAGACTTAGCTGAGAATGCCCAAGCAGTGTCTACTGGCCTGTGGTGAGAAGCAGGTAGTGCCATGTTCCTGAGAGAAGCCATGGTGCCCACCCATCTCTGCCCTCCCCGTACCCTGCCTAATATGTGGCTTCTATTTTTAAAAGTGCCCCCAGTCACTGGCTCCAGTATGTCCCAACACCCCCTCCCTGCAGCGAGGACATTCTCCTGCTGTCTAGCTTAAGGCCTCTGTGCTGGCCACTTAAGCCCCTGGCCTGCCAGGGTCAGGTGGTGCATAGGCCCTGGGTGAGGTCATTGGCTATCCTGGGTGCCTCTGAGCTCGGCGGCTAATTCGTACCCACAGAATGGGGCAGAGAGCACACGTAGGAGGAGGCTCAGGGGGGTGGGTCTGGGGGACTCATGGACTCAGAACCAAGCAGGGCCCCCAGGCTCTACCCATTACATGCCAGGAGCAGGTGGAGGAACCAAACAGGGTCTAGACAGCAGTGAGCTCCTGAGGTTCAAACAGACCGTGCTGCGACATCAGGGTGTGCAAGACTTCTGGGTGTGAGACCCACCAGGGATCTCCAGGAAAGTGGGTCTGGCAGGCAGAGACTGGGGAGAGAATGAGCCAGGGTGCCCACTGCAGGGGAAGGCTCAGGCCAGCACTGCCTCCAAGGAGCACAGCTTTGTGGTTGAGATGAGGCTGTTCCCAGGGTACTCTTGAATGGGACTTGACCTTGGGAACCCCCAAGTGCCTACACCAAGTTCCAGAATCAAGTCTGGCCTTCGTGCCCCTCTGCTGAACACCTCCCAGTCTTCCATGCCACCTATTGCAGCTCTGTCCCCCAGTTCAAGAAAAAGAAATGATTTCCCTATAACCACGGGTGGGCACAGTCAGACATGCCAGCCCCACATGATGCTCCAGAGCAGCCTTGGGAGGCTCACCCTGCTCCCTTATGCACGACCAACCCCACCAAGGCTCAACCACCTCAGGGATGAGGTTTGTCCTTCCCCCTGTGTGCCTCTAGGCAGAATACTGGTAAGACTGGTCTGGCCTTGGGACCTCCAGCTACAGCTCTGCAAAGACTTACTAGCCTGAGAATCACTTTACTAGACACAGATGGACTGAGCACCAGCCATACTCCAGGTTCAAGGTCCTGGCCTTGAAGATGGGGCCAGAACGGTGGTAGAGCTTCCCAGACAGGACGTGCAGTTTCTGGCCTCTGTGCAGGCTTAGGGGCCAGGCCACAGCCACCCAGACACCCTCCTACACACACACATGCTACGCAGCCCCTGCAGGCCATGTCCCTAGGTGAGCACAGGGGGACCAAGACATGAGACATACAAGCAAAGCAGCCTCAGGGGAGTGGACAGATGCCTAGGCAGGTGTGGGAAGAAGGGCCAGGTCCCTAAAGCCTCACGGCGCCAGGGGGAGGAGGAATTGCTGTCTTAGGGCTGGGATAGAATAGGTGCTGGCATCTAGTAATCCATCCAGCCAAACTTCACACCACAAGAGAGGGACAGCAAGGTCAGCAATCCGTCCACCGCCAATCACCTGTCCTCTCTCTCTGCGCTAGGCATGCTGATCTCCCAAAGCAGCCGCCCACCTCCCAGACAATCTTCAGGTCTTGGGGGGAGGGGTGGCTTGGGAAACCTCTAAATACTGCTTTCCTGTCTCTTGTGGAAACTCAGCATTTCCTTCTCAGCTCAAAACACCCGCCACTTGCCCATGACATCACATGCTGCTAACAGGCCAGCTGGCTCCAGAGGGCCAATGCTGACTGGACACAGGGAGGACAGACAGGCAGACAGTGATGGGTGGCCCTCTCTGGGTGGCAGGCCCAGGGCAGTGTACACTCACCCTGGAGATGGTGAGGGGCATGTTGAAGTCCTTGCCCCCCTGTAGACGGAAGCCCCAGGGCCCAGGCCCGGTCAGAGTCACGCTGTATGACATATTAGCACTGATGGCAGATGCTCCTGTAGACACAAAGGGGAGAGGCAGTCGTGTAAGAGGACCCTCCCATAGCCCACCACCACTGCCCCAACCTCGGCCCCAGCCAGGCTTGCCTGCTTTGTCCCCTGCTGCCCAGCGAGGCGACGTGGAGCTCCAGAGCAGCTCCTAAGAATAGCTGGGAGGGAATGCCATCGACACTGATATGTGCCCTCTGCTGCGCCCATAAATGGACTGTAACCCTACACTGCACCCGCCCGCCTGCCCGTGGCCTCCCAGCTGGTCCACTGTGACTCATTCGGCTAATATAGTCCCTGGGGAGGGGTGTCCAGCACCCAGGGGGCAGGAAGGGAGGCCTGGCCAGGTGAATGGTAACACCCTGGCCTCTCGCCCGGTGTCTGCACCCCAGTCCCCCAAGCCCTGTAGAGCTCTGGGAGACTGTGGGCTGAACAACCTGTGGGCAGAGTCTGTTCCCCTAGGCTCCTGACTATCCTGCACTCTGCTAAGGGTTTGAGCTCAAGCCTTGTCTAGTGTGAGGGCCCTGCTGTTGACTAAGGCTGAGCTTTAGCTCAGGGCTATCCAACCTTGAACATGATCATCGTGATTAGCAGCAGCTCTGGGCTCTTGCCACAGCACAGGGCACTGTCCACTGCTATCTCCTGGGATTACAGGAGGCTGCCACCTTGGCCCACAAAAGCCAAGACTTGGAAAGCTAAATGACTTCTCCAAGGTCACACGGGGAGTGGCCCGAGGCCACACTGGAGACTGGGCTCGGGCCAAGGGGGGTGCCTGCCAGATAATGTGTTCCCAGCAGCTTGGGATGCCTCCCGGAACCCTTTCTGAGGGGGTTGTGCTCTTGCCCACACCCCTTGGCCAGGGTCTGGAGGCAGCTGCACCCCCTGCCATTTACAGGCTCTCTGGGGGCCCAGCTGGTTATTCCTGGCTCTCCTGCCTCACTTGTGCCCTGGAAAACTTGACAGCAGCATGGAAAGCCACAGCTGCCAAGCCCCACACCAGGCCCCGTGCCCTTTGGGCAGAAATGGCAGGGATGGGGTGGTCAGGGGAAGGAGGAGATGACAGTGACAGGAAGATGTCACTCGCTCAGCTGCTAGAACACAGGGCCAGAGGAGCCCAGAAGAAGCGAGTGTGTTCAGTCCACACCCCAGCGATAGCATGTATCTAGATGGGGGCACAGGAACCTCTAGGGACTCCTGCCCACGTGAATTTGGGGTCAGATTGTCCCTAAGAAGCCCTAAGACCCTGGATGGTATGCAGATAGATCACAGCTCTCCTTAGCTTTCCAGCTGAGGAAACTGAGGCCCTGAAAGGGACAGCCAGGTCATCTGCTTGCTGGCTCTCTCTGAGCATGCTCTGACCTGAATGGGCCCCGAGGACTCAGTCCAAGGCAGTGGCCAGCACCCCTGGCCCCCGCCCTGCCCCAGCTTCACACTCCAGGACCAGGCGCACAACAGGAACATCATGTTAGGAGGTAGTCTGCCTACTGGCCCAAGGTCATGAAAAAATTCAAGCTAGGGAGGGACCTGTGTTCTCACCTTGTAGCAGCCATACCCACCTGTCCTATTAGCCTTGGCTGGCCCCACACTGCCACCCACCCATAATGCCAGCCTTGTCCTATCTCTCCTAAGAGCACCTGCCTGTCCTGCCGGGATAGGGCAGGAACCAGCAGCAGGGGGAGGTAGAAGGTACTCAGGTGAAGCTGTACCTGAAGCTGCGAGTTCTTTCTCTGGACTCTGGCTCCCTGCTGCCTGATGCTCTTGTCCCTAGGGTAGCAGAAGGATGCTCTTCAAAGGAAAGGCCAGCCTCCCTCCCCCTGCCTCCCCTGGGAGGCCTAGAGCCAGCGGAAGAGCAGCTGGCACCCGTGCCTGGGGCGGAGCTCAGCAGCTCATTGGGGAGGGGCCAGCAGCTGGCCTGGCCTAGCACCCTCCTCCGCTCCACCCTGCCTCCCTGCAGTTTGAGGTAGGCTCTGTGGAGGGAGGGTCCCTAGGGGGTACGAGAGAGCAAAGAAAGAGAAGCTGCAAGAAGCATTAAGGCCAGGCCCTGGCTTTCTCTCCCCTCACAGCACCAACAGGTAGAGACTGTATTCACACAGGAGGCTTTCTATGCTTTTTATTCTCCCATACCCTGGGACATCCACATAGCCCTGGGTTGAACTTGGAGCACTGATGTGAGACAGCACAAGTGCAGTATGTGAGCATGAGCTTGAGGACTTTTGGGAGGTGGTGTACCCACATACCCTGCATGCATGGGAACTGTGCATGGGACCGGAAGGCAGTACGGAGAATCCAGGCATGTGAAGAAAGCGAACACTGTGCTGTTGCCTCTTCCAGCCGCAGGAGCCAGAGCTGCAGAGTCGGCCTTCCGGGGCCACTGAAGTGCCCAGCCTGGATACACAGATGGCTGGAGCTGCCTGATGCATAAACAGCTGGCGTGTCCCCTGGAGCCATCACCATTATCCCCCATTGTGGGGACAAACACAGCACACAGTGTCTGAGGGGAGTTGGACAGTTGCTGAGCTGGAGGCAACAGCAGGCTCTGAGCCTGCAGGGCATGGGAAGTGCAGCATGGAGTCACTCAGGGTCATACGCCAGCAGTAATCCTGGATTTGAATGTGTGTGTGTGGCTGGGTGAAGGGTGTCGGACACCTAGGACATGGGAGGGGGGACAGGAGAAGAGGGCTGGGCTTGCTCCAGAAGAGAAGAGCCGATGGATGTCCTAGGTCCTGGGGTCCAGGCTGGGGAGCAGCCCCCTGGTCTGAAACAAAACAGCACATACCTGTTAGCACTCCAACCACCGTTTGCGTCTCCAAGAGGTAAAGGTAGGCTGTTAGGTGTGGACTGTGTCTCCTGGGAGACCACAATTCTAGCAAGGAACTGCTTGCTAGAATTGTCTCAGCCACTCTCCCCTCCTCTTCTCCCTCATGCATCCAGTGGCCCCTGAGCCACTCATCTTGCCGGCCCTACAGTACCATTTCCCTTGTGCTCGCCTTGCAGGCTGCTTCTGTCCTCCCGGGCCTGCCCAGGGCACCACCCACCAAGCTGGCCCACGCCTGCATGGGGCTCTCAGCTCCCCTAGAGTTCAGATCCGGTAACCCCTTTGGGTAGTTGCTGCTCAGGCCTCTCCATGGCACCTACTATCTCCTGCCTTCGTCCTACTCTGTTAACCCCAGGGGGGCATGGTGGCTGCTCCCAGGTCCCTGAAAGATGCCCAGCTCCTGTTCAGGACAAGCTGAGCAGTCTCCGCTGTCCCATTGCATTGCACACCACTGCCTCCTCAGCTTGAACAATTCAGCATCCTCACACGGGTGGCTCCAAGATTTCCGCTTGCTGCCTGCTGATGGCTAGACCAGTGCCCCAACCTATGTCAGTCTCCCTCAGGCACTGGGGAGTGTCATTGTTTGCCTGGGCAGCCGGACCTGCATCCTGGATACCTTGAGCCTGGTGCTCCCAGAAAGAGAACACAGGAGGTGGTAAGGAGGTGGGGGCAGCAGAGCCTCACTCTCAACTGCAGAGAGCGGTGTGGGACTCCCCACTCTCAGACACACAGGATACAGCGTTAGGGAAGGCAGGTGCCCTGATGGCATGGAGGGGAGGGGCTGCTGAGGCGCCTGTGCATGTGCGTTCGCAGCGTTCTGGAACGCGGCCTTCTCCCATGGCCACCGACATTCCGTTCCATAGGCACTCGGGCTGACAGCTGGCCTTCTTTTAATAGCTGCAAGTATCCTGAGTGACCCGGATCCCGGGACATTCATGGTGAGCATACACACGGCTCGCAGATCCCAGCCCTCGCAAGCACAGGCTGTCACACACACAGAACACAGCAGACAGTTTGGGGTGCACTCATTGCATATCCTGGGATTTCATGGTGACAGTCCAAGCAGTGGGGCCTGCCCCTTTCCCTGGTCACTTTCCTGGATGACTGGCCCTTGATCCTTTTCTCTTTATGTACTAGCAAGTAACAAGTCATTCACCTTCCGGGGAGTCTCAGCTCCTGGTCCATGGCATCTGGGAGCAGCCTTGGCTTCCTCATTTTCCAGAACCTGACCATAGAGGTACCGCCCACTCACCAGTGGGGAAGCCCCATACACAGCCGCAGCCTCCGTGTCTGGCCAGCCCTGGGGATGTAGAAGAGCAAATGAGAGCCAAGATGACCAGTCTGTGGCCTTGCTCCTGCCCCCAGCCCTTGAAAGAAACCCCAGGACACTATTTGCCTCAAATCCTTGCAAATTGAGTGCCACCTGTGCCATGCTGTGGATGTGTGTATATGCACACTCACATGTGCTTCTGCACTTGCGTGCCCACCTTGCGCACCTGGGGGTGCCCCTGTCAAGAGACAGATAAGTGGTCTTCATGAAGATCTACCCTTTCTTGTTCGCTGCAGTGGTTCAGGGAAGGGATCCTCCATTCCTCCCTGAGCCTTTGGGAGGATGGGCAGCCAGCCTGACAGCCACGGCTCTCAACAAGGCTACAGAGAGCTCTAGAAGCAGAAGTAAAAGGACAGAGACCACAAGGCAGGAGAACCTTGTGGGGACCACAGCTAATGGCCCTAGGGGGCATGACAGGCTGGGTGACCAAGACAGAGAAGTAAGTGGCCTGCCCAAGCTTGTGCAGAGTGTCCCTTCCCCTGCACCCCTTAAGTGGGGGATATGGAGGGGCCTCAGTGCTGAGGGACAATTGTTCCTCTGCCAGCAGATGCTTCCACATCTCCTTGGGGGCCCATTTGGTGCCAGGACACTCATCTGTAAGGATGGTGCTAGCATGGGAAAGAGGTGGCCTGGCCCTACCATTGGGTGACCTCAGACCAGTCCACACCCTCTCTGGGTCCTGGGCTCCTGGTGGTCATTGAAGTATAGCAAGATACTGGGGAGAAGGGTGCTTCCCAGGGTCTTCAGGGTCCCAAGTCCCCCCCTCCCCCAGGCCCTAGGGAACCAGCAGCCTTACCACCTCGCTCACAGAGCCGAGGGATTCCTGGCGCCTGCGGCCTGAGATCCAGCTGAGGTCGGACGTCTGGCTGCTCACCGTGGAACGGTGCGTGGAGCGGTAGCTGAGGGAGGGGCGGCTGTGCTGGCCCGACACGCCCAGCAGCACCCCAAGGCAGGGCAGGTGCTGGGCAATGGCCACCCTGAGGGGCACATGCATGGCCAGTTAGGAGGAATGGGCAGATGAACATGGGGCAGAAGAGGAGGGACGAGCAGATAGATGCGGGGTTGGTGGACAGAGAGCTGTTGAGGAAGTGGGGTCACAAGGACAGACAGGCAGGCAGACACCCAGGTTGTGGGAGGCGATGAGGCTCAACAGACAACTGCTGAGCACAGGGCAACTGGCTCCCAGGCTAATGGATTCTGAGGCAGTGAGCGTGGGGGAGAAGCTTAGGGCAGCAGGGCCAGCTGGTGGACATCAGACCCCACCCTCACAGACTGGGGCACAGCCATAACTCAGAGAGCAGTTTGCATAGCACAGTCTGAAGTCTGCAGCTTGCTGTGGGCGGGACTCAGTGCCTGACATCACTAGGTAGACAGAAGCACACGAGATCCTTGAGTTTATGTCCAGGGCTTCATCACACTGGGGAGTTGATGTTGGAGGGCAATAAGGCTGACGAGCCATCCTGGTCACCTGATACCTGGCTCTGCAGATCCAGGATCAGTACTGGCCTCCCTTCAAGTGGAGCTCACTGGGGAAGTTGGGGGCAAGTGATGGGCTCGACCTAACTGCAAACCCAGTATCAGTGACAGTGGTCCCCTTCCCAACACACAGAGGTCCCACCTGTACTTGGGATGTGTGATGGCGTAGATGATAGGGTTGTGGATAGCAGAGGCCTTGGCGATGACAGCCGGCACAGAGGTCATGTAGGGAGTCAGGCTGTGTGCATGCCTAGGACCAGAAAAGGTGTGGGCCTCCTGCCAGCTGCTGTTCCCCCCTCGAGTCCTGTAAACCCTCGGCCTCTAAGCTAGACCCAGCCAGGCCCAAAGCAGCAAAGTCAGCCCCTAGGGAGGGATCAGCAAGAACAGAGAGGATTCTGGTCCAGGTGAGAGCAGAGGGAGGCTAGAGATGGTTGAAGATGGGACTCTGTCCCACTGTCCACCCTGCCCTTCCTTGACCTCAAACCTAGCCCTCTCACCACCCTTCCCCACTCTGAGACTCACTATACCCATCTCGGAGAAAGCTCACACAGTAGGTCAAAGTTATAACAGTTCCCATGTGTCCAACGTGCTGCTGAAGTCTAGCCTACATCCATGCAGCTGCAGATGTCCAAGTCTCCAGATGCTCACCACTGGAGACCCATTCCTTGAGGTGACAGCACCCCTGTCTGTGTTCCACTCCCCTAACTTCAACTGCTCCAGGCAGTGGAAACCAAATCCTCTAGGGGGAGCTGTGTGGTCCCAGGAAGGCCAGCAACCCCTAGGCCACTTTTGGGTGTGGCACTCAGAGCTCCCTAGCCTGTACTGGTGTGTTTCCAGGATCTAGATCAGCCTCCCCACCCCTTAGGAGGGGCTGCGAGGCCAGACCTAGGTTTGATGGTAGCCATGGCACCATCTGGCCGTGAAGGAGGGGCTGACCAGGGGGTCCCTCTTCCGCCCTGCCCCCAACCCCACTTTAACCCCCTCCTCCAGCCCCCGAGCCCCTGCCCACCCAGCAAAGGCCACCAATGCCACCGTAGAATAGGGAGCCCAGGAGAGCAGGAAGAGAAGGATAACCAGCAGCGCAATCTTGGCCATCTTCCACTCGCTCTGCAGCCGTCGCCACTGTCGCCGCTGTGGAGACTCGCGGCTGCCCTCGCAGGCCCTAGGAAGGGTCACAGCAGGCTTGCAGTGAGCGCCAGGGTCACTCAGGCTTGCAGCAAGTGCCAGGGCTTGCATTCTTGCCTCTGATGGGTCCCCCAGGGTGCCCTCTTCACTATCTCAGTTGTGGAAAACAACAGCTAATGAAGAGGGCCTTGCCTGTTGCTACTTCCCTGGCCCAAACTGCTTAGCTTGTCTTGGCCTGCCTGGAGCGGGGAGTGCCATGTATTGGGTGCATGGGTGTGGGGGAGTCCTGGGCAGGGGTAGGATCAGGCCCGCACTCACCGGCCTGTCTCCCGGATGGCCCTGAAGATAAAGATATAGCAGTAGATGATGACAAGCAGCGGCAGGAAGAACACGAAGCAGAAGAGAAGCATGGTATAGGAGCGCACAGACGGTGTGAAGGTGACGTAGTCCCAGGAGCAGGACGTCAGCAGCCCCTCAGGCACGTAGGCACCTGGAAGCCCGAGGTTGGAGCTCAGATGGAGCTCCCTGTCCCCAGGGGTGAGGGTATCCCTAATCACAGACCTGGCCCCCTGCACCTGCCAGTCCTGCCTGGCATCCTGCCCTGGCATCTATGTGGAAGTCAGGGCAGGTAGGAGGCAGGGAGCGTTCTGCAGGGGACGCTGACAAGACACATGGCCAACCCCCTGTCCCCCACCATCATTCCTGTAAATGGAACAGAAGCCTCACTGTGAGCCCTCTGCCCCAGACTTCAGCCAGTGGCCTGACCTAGCCTTGTTATGCAATCTGTCCGGTACACTAAGACCTCACTTGCCGGCCCCTGGCTTGTCTGAGTTGCCACCACACACCTGGTATCTTATGCACCTACTGCTTTACCCCACCCAGAAACTGACTGTCCTGGTGACTTTCTGGCTGTTGATGGGGTAGTCTCAGTTTCCCTCGCTGCTACTCAGGCCTTCTGATTATCCACCTGACTCCAAGCTCAAATAGGCTTGGCGTTGACCTTTCTTTCCACCCCCTTACCCTATCCCAACCTGCCAGGCCTGACTCTACCTACCTCCCCTTCTTCTATCCCTCCCAGATTGTCTGCCACTTCCCCAATTCCACAAGCCATGCCACTTACTCCAGCCAAAGAGGGGCGGCAGACTCCAGGCCAGGGAGTAGAGCCAGACCCCCAGTAGGACCAGGCCTGCCCGCCTCTTGGACACCATGCCAACAGCAGCCAGTGGGCGCGTGATCACCAGGTAGCGGTCCAGGGCTATGGCCGTCAGTGTGATCATGGAGCTTATGCCGAACAGGGCCCCACAGAAGGCGTAGAACTCACAGCCTGCAGGCACAGCCCCTGTCTGAGTGCTCGGGAGGGGACTTTCGGGGCGGCAGTGTCCTCCTCCTCTGGACTCCCCCCTCCCACCAGCATGAATATTCCCTTATCAAGACCTCCCTCCTCCCTCCAGTACAACAGAGCCCCAAGTGTGCACCTGTTTCCCCAAAGAGCCATCGCTTATAGAGGCTGCTGGCGAAGAAGACAGGGGCCTGGGTGAAGGACATGAGGAAATCACTGACTGCGAGGTTGATAATGAACATGTTGGCAGGTGTCCGCAGGCCTCTGCTCCTGCGAGGATCAGGCGCTGTCAGGAGGGGTTTCCGGAAGGACTGAGTCTCCCTTACCCTATGACTATGCATGTGCACATACATATACACATGTGTATTTCAGAGCTACATGTGAACATATGCACAGGTGTGTCTCAGACCCACATGCACATATATGCACACACATGTGCCTCAAACCCACATGTGCCCTCACACACGAGTGTACAGACAGACCGGGAGGAGCTGCTGGGCCATAGACCAATCTCATTGTCCAGCAGGTGTCTGCTGCATACCACGGGAGCCAAGTCATGTGGGCTGAGTGGGCACCCCCAGGGTGTCTCCCTAGGACTCAGGTAGCAGAGCAAGGCATCTCCAAACCCTACCCAGGGAAAGCTGGTGCTCAGGCCTGGGGCTACCCATCTGCTCCTTGTCTCTGGATTCCCTCAGCAAGACTCTCTCCTCAGATCAAACTCTCAAGGCCAGGGTCTCCCCAGGGGCTTTTCCACAGCACCCTCCCCCTTCTCTCCATGTTCCACGTAGCCTGGTCCCTCCCAGGACAGCTGTCTCTGCTGTGCCCCATCTCTGTGAGAGCACCTTCACAAACCTTTTGCATCTAGCCCTGAGAGAGGCAGCAGTGTCCCCGCCCCACTGCTCAGGAAAGAACCCGGAGTCTCCCACTCACACTGTGACTAGTTGAAGATCACAAAGCTCAGCTGCGGGCATGGTCAGAATTTAGACGCTCCTCTGCAGGGCAGAGATCAGACCAGACTTAAGGAGTCATCACGACCTTGAGTCCCAAGAGGAAATCCCAACTCCATTAGGTGAGCCAGAAAAGGGAGCTTGGAAGAAGACAAATGACCTGCCCAGCCCTTCCACTCACAGGGGGTGAATCCAGAGTCACCCACCCAGATTTGTACCCATGTATTTATCCATCCATCTCAGCCATTCAGCCTGCTGGTGTGAGAGACACTGGGAAGCAGCAGGAGACTGCCAGGGTTGGTAGCAGACAATGTGAGGTCCCCAAGCCTGCTGTGTAAGGGCAGAGGGAGGATGGTCCCTGTGGCTAGGGCACAACAGACATGTGTCACTTAAGCCTCCATGGGCCTTTGTTTTTTGTTTGTTTTGCTTAATTTTTCAGCCCTACCCCTGAGCTTGATGATTGAAATCTGAGCCTGGGAGTCTCAGGGTCACTGCCCTGAGCTGGATGCTGATACTTTAGCCCTTCCACGCTGTCCTGAGTCCACTCCCACCCATATCCCCATCAACCAGGCACCTGCAGAAGGTGTAGATGACTGTGAGATTGCCCAGCATCCCAGTGAGCCCCACCAAAAGGATCACGGAGCCCAAAGTGTAGTGGGCATGGTCTGGAACATCAACTGTGGGGAAGGGGTCCTGGGTGGCTTCCTGGGCCACAAGCACCTGCGAAGAAGCAGAGTGAAAATGGTATCACATTATCTCCTGTCACCTGCAAACGCAGCCTTAACCACAAAGAGCTAGGGTTCCCTGGAGGCAGGGAGGAAAGAGGCGATGAGCAGCTAGACCGCTTGTCCACATGGCTGGCAAGTGGCAGAGCTGAAACTGAAATGCAGGTCTTCCTAGAATCGAAACCAGCTCCTACACCATGACATGGAGCAGAAGGCATGCATCGCTGGGCTCAGATCAATCACTGGAGATCAGCAGGACAATCAGGAGCCTGGCTAGCAAGGACATGGCAGGGGCAACCTTCAGGCAGAAGGCACGGGTGCCTCCCTGCCATCTGGACGCTATCCCAAGTATCTAAAGCAATTAAGGGAGTTCAGGGCCTCTGTAAACTGGTGGTATGGTGCAACTGGGTGGAGCCTCTCTTCTAGGGACCCACACCCCTTCCACAGCTCAAAGGAAAATACATGGACGCTGCTGACCCTGATGCCTGGCATGGGAGCAAGAGGGAGATTCCCTTTAGAAAGAAAACTGGGGGGCCCGGCACGGTGGCGCAAGTGGTTAAAGGTCCTCGCCTTGCACGCCCGGGATCCCATATGGGCGCCGGTTCTATCCCGACAGCCCCGCTTCCCTTCCAGCTCCCTGCCTGTGGCCTGGGAAAGCAGTCGAGGACGGCCCAAAGCTTTGGGAACCTGCACCCGCGTGGGAGACCCGGAAGAGGCTCCTGGCTTCGGATCGGCATAGCATCGGCCCGTTGCGCTCACTTGGGGAGTGACTCATTGGACGGAAGATCTTCCTCTCTGTCTCTCCTCCTCTCTGTATATCCGCCTTTCCAATGAAAAAATAATAAAAATAAATCTTTAAAAAAAAAAAGAAAGAAAACTGGGGCATGGAGGACATGCTGAGAGGGCCCAGTAAAATGCTTGGAGGGGCCACAGCCAAGTCCAGACTCCTCACGTCCATCATGACTTATAGGAGGGCTCAGTGCACATGCACACTCCCCAAGGCTTACCGTCGGGCTGCTGGGCGACAGCCGGCCCAGGCTGGTGGGGCTGTTCTGGGAGCTGTCCCAACTGTCGGCTGGGGTGGCCGAGCTGCTGTTGCTGCTGGGCTCCTGGGTTGGGCTGGCTGGGACTCTTGAGCCTGAAGGAGGATTCATCCTGAGACCAGGTGCTCTCTGCTGGAGCCCACAGAGAAGTCAAGGGTGTGGGGAACTCAGCACACTCACTGCACCAGCCTCCTCACTTCCTTCATCCTTGGCACCCCCACCTGGTCTGCCTGCCTGCCAACCCAGCCTGGCGCTGCTGCTGTCCAGACTGGTGGGGCAGTCCGATGCTGCGGAGGTGCCAAGGAGCCAGTGTCACAGGCCCGCGGCTCACAGCTCCTTTAAGTAGTGCACTTGGGGCTGCCCAGGCTTGGTCACTCCTTGCCTCCAACTTCCTCCTCCCCAGGTCCCTGGGTGTGTGTCCACAAGGGCCTGGTAATGGGGTGGTGTGAATGCATGTGCACACACACATGCTTCAGGGGATTCTGTGAGCTTGGCTCCTGGGCAGAAAACATCATCCTCCCCTCTGACCACTCTCTCCTCCTTCTAGCACCAACAACAGTCTCTGCTCTCCCATGTTCCCCCCTGCCCACTCCCACCTCCACTGCCCCAAGGGCTGCTCCTGAGCAGGAGAACCTGTGGCACTCAGCCCCATCTTCCCCACAGCAGTCCTGACTCCATGCTCCCCCCCACATGAGCCCACAGCATACTTAAAATTTTTTAACTTTTACAAAAAGATAGATTTATTTATTTGAAAGGCATGTTTACAGAGCGAGGGAGAAAGGAGAGACAGAGAAATTGTCTATCTCCTGGTCCACCCACCAGACGGCCACAACAGCAAAAACTGAGCCAAGCCAACCTCTTTCCAGGTCTCCCATGTGGATGGATGCAGGGGCCCAAAGGCTTGAGCCATCCTCTTCTGCTTTCTGAAGTCATAAGCAGGGAGCTAGATCAGGACATGGAGCCGCCAGACACAAACCAGAATCCACATGGAATGCCAGTGCCACAGGCAGAGGACTAGCCTGGCCACCATGCCAGCCCTGATTTCCAAAAACCAGTTTTAATTTTATTTTAAAGGCTGATAGAGACACAGATCTTCCACCCACTGATTTACTTTCCAAATGCCACAACAGCCAGGTCTGGGCCAGGCTCAAACCAGGAGCATAGAACTCCATCCCAGTGTACCATAAGGATGGCACAGATCCAAGTCCTTAAGCCAATACTCTTGACCCCCCACACTAGGTGCCCCCAAGGCTGCCCCAAGGAACCCTGTCTCTTGGATCAGATCCTTGGGCTCAGCTGAGCCCTTCCCCTGCAGGTCACCCTGACCAGGTAGCACTACTTTCTGTTCTTAATGGCAAAGTGAACATGCCAACTGCTGGCTCTGCCATGTTGGGGTGGGAGCTGCAACTCTTCTGAGCTGGGAGCAACCCGACACATCTCCATGACACATCTGTGCTCACTTTCCTACCAGCTCGTTGGAGAGGAAAGAGGTGTAGCTGTTGGCACCCAGGTGGCTACCCAGTCTTGTTTTGGGACTGAGCAACAAGCACAGGCACCCAGCAGTCTGTCTGGGTGTGGCTGCCAGTCTAGGGGAAGGAGCTTGAGCACCAGCTGCCAGCACCAGGCGGGGTGGGATGGGGGAAACAGGGGAAGGAACAGCCACAGTGGAACGTGCCCTTGGGAAACACCATCTTGGGAAAGGGTGACCAGGCTGGCCTCTCCTGGGACCACTAGAGGCATAGTTCCTGGCACAACGCTATCTATGTCTGCACAGCTCCCTGGCCACTGTTCACGGCCATCAAAGGGGCATCTGCACTTTATAGAGCGGTCTCTGGAGCCGAACTTCCAGGGAGGACCTCAGACAAGGATGGCTTGCTCTCCTTGGCTGCCTGCTGTCCAGCCGTTGTGCCAAGAAAAGCGAGCCCTCCCTGTTCTTTGCTTCTCAAAAGTATGGCCAAGGATGGGCGAAACCAACGTCCTCTGGAGACTGTTGGCAGAGGTGGCTAGACATTAAGATTAGCAACAGTAGTATATGGTGCTAACTCCCAAAGCTGAAACTACTGGAAGAGGAAGGGTATGTTCAGGCAGGAAGGACAGGAAGGACCCCAGGACTGGGGCTGTCAGGCAGGGTGCCTTACTGGAGTGGCCCCACGGTGATCAGAGCAGGGGGCATGGCTTCCCTCCTGTCTTCTGCAGGTACCTTGCATCAGCCAGGTCTACAGGGAAGCTACTCAGACGGTGGGTTGGATGCTGTTCCCTGCAGCAAACAGTTAGCAAACAATTCTGCCCCTCACCCTACCCCCCTTCAGCCACTAGGTACTCTCATTCCTTCATGAAAGTTTCCCTGAGCTCAGGGGTGTGGCTGGGTTTGGACCCTCCCGAGTATGCAGTGCCGGCCAGGGAGAGAGGCCTGGGGACCACATGGCCTGGGAGGCTGTAGGCCATCAGGTACTTTCTGCCCTTACCCACCCCCAGAAGGAGAGGGTGGTATGAGCATTGGGGACCCAGGGCCCAGGCCCGCCCCCAAGCTCTGCCCTGCTCTTCACACCCTGTTGGCCGGGCAGGAGGTGGAAAAAGCTTTGCAGGCTCCTCAGGCCCCCGGGGCAGGGACTCACTCACCAAGCCTGGTGGTGAGCAGAACACATGGTGTGAGGCCTTAGAGGTCAGATGGCTGGGTGAGGGCCCTCGGCAGAAGTGTGGGCTGCCATCTGGGGACTGGGATCTTATACCCAGTCCACACTAACTTCACTGACAGCGTCTCTGGCCCCTAAAAGTTCCAAGTCCGAGAGCTCTCTTGAGCAATGCTGATGATGGAAGAGGCAGGCAGGGAAGGAGACACATGGCGCCTGCGTTTCTTTATTTCTGGCCCAGCAGTTAGCAGCCAGGAGTCAGCTCTCCCTGGCCGGCCCAGCTAGCAGCCCTGGAATGCCAGCCCCGTGCCAGGCTCATCTGTCTTTGCCTTGGGATCAGCTTCCCCATCCGGGGCCCAGCAGAGGTGATTTGGTTACCCAGAGACTCCTGGGAAACTCTTGGAAGCTGTTGCTAGAAGATTAAATGACTCAACCATCCTAATCCTATAGGCACCTGGCCAGCTGCTCACCTAGGGGATATGGCTGCTGTGCTGGGACCCTCCTCCCCAGGGCTAGAAGGAGCAACCAGAAGTGCAGAAACAGCAAACCCTCCTCTCCTGTTTTTGCTCATGTTGCTCATGCTACAGAACAAGTGTCCCTGCCCTTCCCCCAAGCCCTGGTCTAGAGACGCTTCCCCCTGACAACCCTACCAGTTTTGGTCTGCTCCTGGGGTCAACCAAGTGACCCAATGGTTCTGCTGATCGCCTCATGATCTGAGATCCGCCTGGTCCTTTATTTCCTTTCCCTGCTGAGCAGCCAGCTCTGAGGTGTGTGGGATGGGGCAGAGTGGGTACAGAGGCAGTAAGATGGCTTCCTGTCCTTACAGAGCATCTGGCTTTTTCACTGATGGCACTGGTCCAAATTCCTGAGCCAAGTGCTCCTGGCGATTCCCAGTGCTGGTGCTGCCACCCGTGTGTTGGCTCAGGAAGTCCCACTGGGGAGGCGAGGGTTCGACATGACTACATGTGACTGTCATGCACTCACTAAATCCCTACAGGGGAACACCATGTCTCAGGCACGCCCTGAGTTAGCTCCATGCTAAGAACCAGGAGGAGTGACCCAGTCACCGCCAAGCCCGAGAAAATGGCCCGCTCCTTTTGGAACTTAGTCAAAGGATCAGAAGGGCAAAGACAAAGGAATCAGGAAGCCTAGGGTTGGAGGAAAACATGAGTAGGGCCTAAAGAATAAAAGTTTAAACTCAGCATTGACTACACACCCAAGTGAGGCATGTGGTGTACAATAAACCCACCCAGTGGGCGGTTCTGTATTCCACATACCTGGGGCACAGCCAGCAGCCCCTCCAGAGCAGGAAGAGCCAAATGCATTCCTTGGGGTCTTCGACATTTTCTGGTTGGCATCCAGAAGATTCCCACTGAGGTACACAGAGGCAGGCTGAAGTGCCTGAGGACTACGCACTTTGGATATCTCTGGGTAACAGGTTGGGACTGCAGGAAAAGCAGTTTTGCTCCTCAGTGTGCCTGCTTGGTAGGCACCCTGCGTCCCAGCCATCCCTCCCTGCAGAGCAGGAAGTCTGGGCTAACCAGCAGGCAGGAGGCCACCCACATTGATCCCTAACAGTTCAGAGCCCTTTCTGGTGCCTGCACAGGCAGGAGGAAGCCCATAGCAGATGTTCTGTGACCACCCATAGCCCTTGGTTTTTTGTTTTGTTTTGGTTTTTGTTTTTTAAGGCCAAGTTACAGAAAGAGAAGAGACAGAGACAGAGACAGAGACAGAGACAGCTTTTTTTCTCATGGTTCACTCTCCAAATAGCCACAACAGCTAGGACTGGAGCTCCAGGCCAAAGCCAGGTGCCAGAGGCTTCTTCTGGGTCTCCCACATGGGTGCAAGGACTTAGGCCATCCTTAGCTGCTTTCCCAGGGAGATGAGTCAGACGTGCAGAAGCTGAGACTCAAACTGACTCCGCGTTTCGGAGGCCAACATAGCAGGAAGAGGCTTGACCCTGCAGTTCCACGCTGGTCCCTATTTTTAAAAACGTTTGAGAGATCTTCCATTTGCTGGTTCGTTCCAATGTTTCTTTTGATTTTAAAAATGTTTTTCAATTTATTTACTTTATTTATTTGAAAGGCAAAATTACAGAGGGGAGCTAAGGCAGAGGCAGAGAAGATATGTTCCATCTGCTGGTTCAATCTCCAAATGCCTGCAATAGCTAGGACTGGGTTAGGCTGAAGCCAGGAGCCGCTGCTGCTTCTTTTTTTTTTTTTTTTTTAAGATTGTTTTTTATTTGTTTTTATTGAAAGGCAGATATACAGAGAGAAGGAGAGACAGACACTGGTCCATTCCCCAAGCAGCCGCAACGGCTGGAGCTGAGCCAACTTGAAGCCAGGAGCTTCTGCTGGGTCTCCCACATAGGCACAGGGTCCCAACGCTTCGAGCCGTCCTCGACTGCTTTCTTAGGCAACAAGCAGGGAGCTGGATGGGAAGTGGAGCAGCTAGGACACAAACCAGCACCCATATGGGATC